TGTATTTAAGTGGTGATTTCTAAACAGCAAAATAAGCAAATTCAGGGATATTAAAATACAGTTTATTTATAAGGTGAATTCTGTGTAAGTGATGTATTCTAGGAAGGAAAGACACTCAAGGCAGTTTGGGCAACGTTTCATTAGATAATATTACAGATAATAGGAACATACATTGACTACAGAGCAATGAGATTTTCACTGCATAAAACTATGAATAACATTATATCAAAATGTTTATTTGAACTGTCCAAAGGATTTATTTGATGAAAAGATTTTCAAGATGTTCAAATCTGAGAGTTGTAATTGCACAATGTAGTGAGGAAGAAATTATTCTGTAGTAACAACCTCATGACCCTGAGTACAAAGTGAGGAAGAAATTATTCTGTAGTAACGGCCTCATGACCCTGAGTACAAAGTGAGGAAGAAATTATTCTGTAGTAACGGTCTCATGACCCTGAGTACAAAGTGAGGAAGAAATTATTCTGTAGTAACGGCCTCATGACCCTGAGTACAAAGTGAGGAAGAAATTATTGTGTAGTAACGGCCTCATGACCCTGAGTACAAAGTGAGGAAGAAATTATTCTGTAGTAACAACCTCATGACCCTGAGTACAAAGTGAGGAAGAAATTATTCTGTAGTAACGGTCTCATGACCCTGAGTACAAAGTGAGGAAGAAATTATTCTGTAGTAACGGCCTCATGACCCTGAGTACAAAGTGAGGAAGAAATTATTGTGTAGTAACGGCCTCATGACCCTGAGTACAAAGTGAGGAAGAAATTATTCTGTAGTAACGGCCTCATGACCCTGAGTACAATTCTGAAGAAACATCAGTTCATGCATTCATTGTTTCCTGTTTCATATAAGCATAATGTGCTGTTTCCTTTCTTTGTCCTTTATGTGTACTGACAGATTTCTAAGAAGGAAAAGGGACAGATCTTTGGTTTAAGCATATTTGTATTGCACAGAAATCTGGATTGGTAAAAAAAGCAAAACTTATGCTTGTGTAAGTACCTTTCCAGTAATGTGTTGAAACAGCTGGTCAGTACACATAAGTAGTGCTAAACATAATGCACCATTGCCCAAATGAAATACATAAGGTCAGTAATTTGAAGTCAGTTTTGGGGACAGATCTTTAAGGGTTACTAAATCTGTGTCAGTGTCAGTTGAAGAAATTAATTCATAGGAATTCAGTTATAATGACTCCAATATTCTGAGCTGTTTCATGGTCACATAATAGTTTGGACAAAGCAACAGCATATGGTATTCATTCTCAGATTCTACAACATATCTTCAAGATTACCAGGATAACACATGCAATCCTGTGGCTGAGGCATGATCATCACCCTGGTTGTCAATGGATTTACAGAAGATATGATGGGATTATAGGAATTGTTAGCCTCATATTTCGTCCTGCAATCTGTGGTCTAAATTTGTTGGAAAATCCCCAAATAAGGATGAATTCAGTGTGAGTGAGATAGAAGATGCTGCAGTTATATAAGTATGTAATGTAGCCATCTGTAGGCAGCAATTGGGAACCAAATAACAAAGACATTTTCTCAGATAATTTTTCTAGCCTTACTTCCTGCAACCAGGTTTGTTCGCTATAACTACCTATATTAATTGAAAGCCAATGATTGCAGGTTTCATTGATTTTACTGGGATGAGGCCTGTGCATGAACGGGTGATTTGAGGGCTCACCTTACCCTAAGTCATTAACCATTGCACGAAGCCATTGTGAGTTCAGCAGAACTGATGGCATACGCTTGTAGTGTGTTCATCTTTGCTTGATGAGGTCTTGATAATGCACACGCTAAACAGCACATAGATCGAAAGACAAATTGAATATGGGTATCGATATCACTGCTTTTATCCTTGATCAACATAGCCGTTGTGCTACGTCGCAAACACATCTTTTTCATCTATTTCTCATAGGTCCATCAGGCTGTGTCACAGATATCTTGCATGTTGCACTCCATCATTTTGGGATAAAATTGATCGGTCCTTTAAGGTCGGACAGATATTTACTCTGGATTTGAAATCTGATGTGCCTTATTTTAGTCCTAAATTTATTCCTTAGAAGCTGATTTCACGGATCAGAATATGTGTAAACATTTATCGGCAAGTGCATCATTTGCTGTGACACTTTTTGTCCCATCGCGTACGTTTATGTGATTCATTGTCTTAAAATCATTGCAAAATAAGCATTAGAGCTGGTGAACCTAAATAATTGCCTTAGTTGACCTTGAAAGAATACATTAAGAAAAAGTATTTGGCAGCATGTCCGTAAATCCTTTCCCCTCTTGTCCATTATATATTATCTGAGTATTCAGGCCTTTGTAAAAATCACTTATCTTCAGTAATGTGGATTTTTTGCAAGCAATTCGGGAAAACAAAAACAAAAGACACGCACAAAAGTATAAGGCAATACAACAAATAGTTAGTTTAATTATTCTCTTTTCCACTGGGAAAATCTGACAGATAATGAGGACAATTTTTCTTCTCGTTTCAAGCCACACTTAGTACATTGATTCTTCACTGTAACATGCGAAAGTGTTATTAATTCTGTTTAAATATTGATGCATAAATTGGATTCATCCTGGATGGATATGACTTATGAGTAAAAACTATCCTGGGTGCAGTAGTGTAAGGTGTACAACATAGCAGTGTGCAGAGCAATATGATTAACGTTTTCTTATCATTTGATGGGACAAAATTATTACTTCTACAAGCACATGCTGTTGCGTAATTATTTTTTAAATGTCTTCTCATCAAACTCCACCTTGGGGGGGATCCTGTATTTGGGGTTGTGTTCCAAATGTGTGCTTGACAGCAGCGGATAATTGAGTGAGTGAGTTTAGGTTTATGTCACACTCAGCAGTATTCCAGTTATATGGCAGCGGTCTGTAAATAATCGAGTCTTGACCAGACAATCCAGTGATCAACAGCTTGAGCATTGATCTAAGCTATTGGGATACGATGACATGTGTCAACTAAATTTAAGTCAGTCAGCCTGACTACCCAGTCGTGATATGACATGTGGACGTCCACTGCATGGGCAATCATGTATCTGTCTGTCTGTGCACCCAACTGCCCAGGTTTCATATTAAAAGCAGGCATATTGTTTTTATCAGTCAGAACAGTGTCTGGTAGTGTTCATTACCCAAACAATATATAGAATGTTTCAAGACATGCTTTCCAGTCATTGTGTGTCTTTGTTGTAAAATTAAATCACTATTATTGGAAATCAAAGAGATCTGAGGCCGCAACATAAGTTCTGTGTTCCTTTTGAAAATTAGTGCTTGATCCTCTGCACACATGAAATGAATGTATTGAAGTTAGACTTGGTATGAATATTTCTAGTGACCTTAGAAAAGAAACTGGGCCACCTTAGGTGAGTGAGTATAGTTTTTCTCGCTTTTAGCAATATTCCACCAATATCACGGCAGGGGACACCAGAAATGGGCTTCACGCATTGTACCCATGTGGGGAATCGAACCCGGGTTTCTGTGATGAGTGAACGCTTTAACCACTTGGCTTCCTCACACCATGGCAAGCTAAGGACACTTTGGAATAAGATAGTGATGATGACAAAGAGTAAAACTCAATATCCCACAAATAGGAATTTACAGCATCTACCATCCTGTATGTGAGACATCATTCACCTCCTGTACAAGATGATCTCAAGCATAAAGTTGCATGACAGTACAACGTTGATGACTTAGACTATGTTTACAAGCTGGTGACACCTGAATGTTTGCAGTGATGTGCATGTACCCAGCTGCCACTTGAAACAAGGCAGGCACAATGACATATTCAGTACATAAACCAAATCAGGAGCCAGGTGACATTGTTTAGAAATAATTTGAAGCAGTTACTCACTTAACTGAAAATGTTTCCAATCCAATTTTTAAGGCATCAAAATTTTCAAATTTCTACAGTACATGGTCCAACTGTCCAAGGTGAATAACTCAGACCAAAATAATTCCTGAGCCACATATATGTTATTTCCTGTTTTATTTTGAGTCAGATTGACGAATGGTTATTGATAATATAAAGCTGGGATACTGAATACTGGTTTGTACATTTGTACAATTAGTTAGGAATTTTAGTCAAACAGTAATTAGTTATTTGTGTGATCATAATGGGCTCAGGTTATTTTGTATATTTTTATGAAATCAGATTAGTTGACTCATGTACATGTTTATATGACTTCAGTGAGATGACTGCTTGCATGGAGTTATTGCTGATATACTTTCAGAGTTACTTCCATTTGTTACAGACTTTCATATGCTTGGATGTTATGTAATCCAGACGGGGGGCGGTGGGGTAGCCTAGTGGTTAAAGCATTTGCTCATCACGCTGAAGATCCGGGTTCGATTCCCCACATGGGTACAATGTGTGAAGCCCATTTCTGGTGTCCTCGCTGTGATATTGCTGGAATATTGCTAAAAGTGGTGTAAAAACCAACTCACTTACTAATCCAGTCAGTGTTCCCTCATCAAGACTCGAACTTTGGATCCCCACATGGATAATGTGTGTGCATGTACATATGTTAACATTAGAGAACAACTGTCTTGGTTATCTACTGTACTACAAGCACAATAGGCGTATGGCAATGCAAACCATCTGATCATTAAACATAACGATGACACCAGGTGTTCACTTTGTGTTGCCTAGCTGCCATTTAATTGCTACATATTTAACATAATCAAAATGCAACCCTACCCTTCTGTGATGTAAACAATGGCATATATATGTTTGGAAAGACAGTTGGAATATCCTGGAATCTGACCAAGTCTTCCTTCATTTATCCACAATGTCCGAACCAAATATTAATATGACTTTGCAGAAGCTGCTTTGGTTTTACTTTCAGATTTACTTCCATATCAGATGATTATTGAATAGGTCAACATTTTATAAGATATATATGCAAGTTTGTTCATATACTTTTATAAGCTGATGATGTTTTATGTGTTCAGACTGTTTTGTCTTTGTTTCAGGATCACTCCTGACCAAGCCACAGCATTTGTCCTGAATCTCACCAAAGTGATCGGTCTCAACACAACCTTTGTTGATGATATACAGTAAGTAACCAGCATCCATGTTTAACATGTTCATGTACATCAACATGTGTAGCTAGCATCTTCAGTTAACATCAACTGATAACAGCCAATAACTTCTAGTAATATCCATTGTTAACATCCACAGTTAATATCAACAGTTAATGTCAACTGATAACATCCAATAACTTCTAGTAATATCCATGGTTAACATCCACAGTTAATATCAACAGTTAACATCAACTGATAACATCCAATAACTTCTAGTTAATATCCATGGTTAACATCCACAGTTAACATCAACTGATAACATCCAATAACTTCTAGTAATATCCATGGTTAACATCCACAGTTAATATCAACAGTTAACATCAACTGATAACATCCAATAACTTCTAGTTAATATCCATGGTTAACATCCACAGTTAATATCAACAGTTAACATCAACTGATAACATCCAATAACTTCTAGTTAATATCCATGGTTAACATCCACAGTTAATATCAACAGTTAACATCAACTGATAACATCCAATAACTTCTAGTTAATATCCATGGTTAACATCCACAGTTAACATCAACTGATAACATCCAATAACTTCTAGTAATATCCATGGTTAACATCCACAGTTAATATCTTCAGTTAACATCTGATGAACTGATAACATCCAATAACTTCTAGTTAATATCCATGGTTAACATCCACAGTTAACATCAACTGATAACATCCAATAACTTCTAGTAATATCCATGGTTAACATCCACAGTTAATATCTTCAGTTAACATCTGATGAACTGATAACATCCAATAACTTCTAGTTATATCCATGGTTAACATCTACAGTTAATATCAACAGTTAACATCAACTGATAACATCCAATAACTTCTAGTTAATATCCACAGTTAATATCAACATTTAATGTGGACAGTTAACATCTACAGTTAATATCTACTGTTAACATCAATGGTTAAGATCATATGATAACATCTACAGTTGATATGTACAGTCAACATCAAAAGTTAACATCACTCGATAGTATATCTACAGTTAACATCAACAGTTAATGTGTACAGTTAACATCACTAGATAACATCCACAGTTAAGATCACTATATAGCATACACACATAATATCACTAGAGTGAGTGAGTGAGTTTTACGCCGCACTCAGCAATATTCCAGCTGTCTGTAAATAATCGAGTCAAGTAAATAATGGACCAGACAATCCAGTGATCAACAGCATGAGCATCGATCTGTGCAATTAGGAACCGATGATGTGTCAACCAAGTCAGCGAGCCTGACCACCCTATCCCTTTAGTCAGCTTCTTACGACAAGCATGGGTTACTGAAGATCAATATTCTAACCGTACCTTCACAGGTTAATATCACCAGATAAGACCTGTGGTTAACACCACTATTTCACATCTACAGTTAGCATCTCTAGGTTACATTTAGAGTTAACATCGCTAGATTTTATTTGCAGTTATAATCATTAGATTACATTTACAGTTAACATCATTAGATTGCATTTACAGTTAACATTATAAGATTACATTTACAGTTAACATCGCTAGATTATATTTACAGTTAACATCGCTAGATTACATTTACAGTTATAATCATTAGATTACATTAACAGTTAACATCATTAGATTGCATTTACAGTTAACATTATTAGATTACATTACAGTTAACATTGCTAGATTACATTTACAGTTAACATCGCTAGATTACATTTAACATTGCTAGATTACATTTACAGTTAACATCGCTAGATTACATTTAACATTGCTAGATTACATTTACAGTTAACATCGCTAGATTACATTTAACATTGCTAGATTACATTTACAGTTAACATTAGATTACATTTACAGTTAACATTATTAGATTACATTTACAGTTAACATCGCTAGATTACATTTACAGTTAACAATCGCTAGATTACATTTAACATTGCTAGATTACATTTACAGTTAACATCGCTAGATTACATTTACAGTTAATGTCTATGGTAACATCTACTGTTTATATAAACATCTATGGTTAACAGCCACAGTTATTACTAATTTGTAAAAGTGAATGTTTGTGTTTAGTCTGTGTTTTTATTTAATTCACATCACTTCTTTAATTGATTAACTGGTGTTCTAGTGATGTATGATGATTGCATGCAACAGGTTTGAATTCCATAACAATAATTTATTTTTCTATCTAACCCTCTTGTCAAAAGAGCTTGTAGTCAGTGATGATTTCATTGCTTACACTGTACATGGAAAACATTCTGACATTATGGTGGGATTACGTTGATGAAGAGCGAAATCTATAAATATTCAAGGTATCAACGTCTGCCTGGATGATAAGATCCTGAGAAAGCCAGCAGATTAGATGTTGCATTCAAACTATTAGTGCTGCTATATTTGATTCTCAACAGGAAACTGATAATTATGGCCGATGTCATGTTATTTGTGTGCCAGGAATGTCTTTGTTATCCTTCAGTGCCGGAGAGTGACATTGGGATATTTCCCTGAAGGAAGCACAGCTTAATTTTCTGATAAACCCTTGCAGTGATCATATTGAGAAGTCATAGAAAAACAACCACCCTGTTATTCATATGAGGTTTTGTCCAAAATTAAATTCTGTTTTCTTGGATTTCTTTGACTGAAGAGGCAGAAGACTTTTCTGTTGCATTTTTCTTGATTTTGCATTTTGATCATTTTTCCAAACTGCCACAATTACAAGTAGGTCACACCGAGATCGTGTCGTTAGTCTGGTGCCAATGATTACCATTCCACATCGACACGACTTCATTGGGAAACATTTCACATGACATCAAAGCTGGGCCCTATCAGGGCTGTTCACATATGGTTTCTTCTGTAACATTTGGAGTATAGGCCAACACAAAGAGATTGCCGTTTGATTATATATGTAGCCTTATAGAGGCCCTAAGACATCTGTCATCATCCTTTGCCATCAACGTCGCCTTGGTCGCAGAGAGGAAATGGTGCTCAGGACGCCCTTTCTATGGTCTTTTTCATTTTCACACACAGGATTCGGAAAGATCATTACTGCACTGTGGGCAGTTAATTATGGTTTTTAGAAAAGATCACACTGAAAATATCATTTTCTTTTCCCTGCAGAGTCGCCTTGGTTTCATGTTGGCGTTATTTCCTCTGACAAAACAGTTCATACCTCACTTGACTTCAATATGGACCTAGTACGTATGGTTACCTGTCTTATTACAGTCTTCAACAAAAAATTGTCTGCGTCTTATCCGGATGGTGAAATGATAGCAGCGACCGTTAGTCGTTTTCTTTAGAAGCAGCCATTATTGATATTTTTGCCTTGATGGTACCTACAAAGGGTTGGTATAAAACCGAGGGAAACTACGCAGAGATTATCCATCATTAGTTGAAAGCAGACAGGCCGCGTGATCCCTGACTTTCAACCTTGGTCTGAAAGAGTTTAATTAATGAATTTGATTGTGAAAACCCTGCACGGGCGAGCTCCATTTAGTTGGCAATGAACAAAGCCATACTAAGATTGTTTCTGTCTAGGGTAATTTCTGCAGGTAACTTAACCCTTTTATACCTTAGTGCTGGAGAGGTTTGATCATGTTTCCTGGGTGTAGGGAAACACGTAATACTGTTTCTTTTTGAATGTAGTTAGTGAAGAAAGCTGATTGTTAAACAAACTGATGTTATTGCCAAAATATCTCCTTGTTATCATTGTACACTTTTGTAAGTAAATGAAACAGTCACTTTTGTGGATTATATAGTACAAGCAGCTTTCTGTCATGGGTTAATCTTTAATTTATCTTCAGAATCAAGTCATGGTGCTATAGTCATGAATGTCAACTTCTCATTTCTAAAATAGCAGCAGATCAGATGGAGTATTGAAGTATACTGTGATTTATTATTTCTTGTAGGTTGAAAATGGGTATGGCCAGTTACCATGGTAACTGAGTCATTAACAGCTTTTGGAATGTAGTAAGACAATTCCACGTTAATCGTTTCATTTTGACATCACATTATGCTGAATGACCTTCACAGAAATCAATTGTTCAGAGATCCTGCTCAGTTTTGTAAAATATGCAGATGGAGGTACAATAACCGCAAATCTTGAGTTGTTTGTGTGGAAATATAGGTAAACATGGTTAAAAAGTAATAATATGACTATGCTGTGTTATCTAGCCTCACATCTTGTGTACCTGTATGTCTTTGCAGATCTATATTAACTGATCAAAGCAGTCCTCACACATACACAGACTCTCCTGCAGCGAAGGCTACACAATATCATTTATTGTCACTGCTACATGTATGGCTTGGTAAGCCTGGGAGAAATGTGACACACTTTGGGCAGTATGCTGACAGATACAAACTGGAAGTCACCTAAAACAGATTCTAAGTAGAAGTACGTTTAAAAAGAGGTTTTCTCATTGGTAATAATTACCCAGTTTAGGACCCAAGGGAGTAAAAATATATGGACTACCCCCAAAAACCTATTAACTACCTAAACTAAACTACCTGAAGTGAATGATCATTATATGTGAGTAAATACCCAGTGGCTGAATAAAACTCCTAAATTGGTGATATTATATTAATTATAGAGCTTGCAAAATAATGGCAGTGTTTTTAAAATATTTAGTTATGGCAGATGCAACTGTTAACTTTCTGCTGTGTGTTTTTACATCGAACAAGTGAATTAATGTAGAAAATACAATTTTATATGAATTTCAAATGTTAATACCACATTTGGATAATTGTTTAGTGATCTCTTGTGCCAAAGCCTGCAGCCTCAATGAACTGAGAACTGAAGTGGAAATCAGAGAATAGATACTGGCTTGGTGCGGCATGGTAGCAAGTGATGGTCATGTTTCATTGTGGGACAGACCAAGACTATCATATTTAGTAGTACGTTTATGATTGTTTGTGTAGAGTGAATTAGTTTTCTAGAGTGACTGACATTCAACATTATTCCACAGATGGCAATCTGTATATCAAGATGCAAGAAGCATTTTCCGTATG